AACCGTGTACCTGCTATAAGCGGAGACCAACCCATCGCTGCAAGCCCGCACTGCCAATGGAAACTCGGGCGTCCCTGCTGCAGACACCTTCGCAGAGACAAGTGCGAGAGATGCAGAATCCAGCCACGGATGCGAAGCAGAGAAGTTCAAAACGCGTTTAGGGATGAAATCGTGCATACGCTGAGCTAGGAAGACAGTAAGACGGTGAGCAGCTTCATTAGGCGTGCAAGCGTCGATCCAACTCCAATCGGAACGACGAATGGACGACCGAATGGCAGCCCAGTTGGCAAACTTATAGTTCCAAACTGTCCTAGAGAAATCCTCAACGGCCAAAGGCGGCAGAACTATGCGAGCTAAGACCGCGCTGTGGTCTGCGATCTGTGCCAAGACATCTGCAGACACTTGCTCGGGCAAATCAGTCAAAACTAAATCTAACAAGTGCCGCTGGCGCGTGGGTTTGCGGACTCTCTCGAAGAAACCATGGGAAATGCACCACGCTTTGAGAAATGAGCCCTCCGGAGAGTTACGAGTCGAATAATACAGCCAATCTTTCTGATGCACGTTAAAATCACCTACAAAAACAGAGCCAACCGCGTGCTGGGAGTGCGAGGCCCACTCTTCCGTCAAACAGCGAAGGCTGCCTAATTCGGCGTGGCATGGAGGACGATAGAAACAAGACATCAAGATAGGGCCACAATCAGAATGTAACAAAACCCAAATCAACTCAGCAGAAATCGAGTTCTCGAGTGGTGAGAACAAGTGAGCACACGCAGTGAGAACAAATATCAACACACCACCGCCGAGACCATTCCTGTCACGCCTAGCAATAACGGTGTAGAGAGACAAGGAGGGAGCAGGAGAAGAGGCATCAAGCCAAGTTTCCGTAAGGAAAACGCAAACGGGCAAATTCGGAAGAAGACGAAGACGACCCTCGAGCTCAGCCTGGTGCTTCGGGGTCAGACTCTGGATATTAACATGGAAGATGGTGAGATCAGCAACTGCGAGAGACAGTGAGGTGCCGGATTCACGCGGCACCCTGTCTCGAGGCGTATCTTGCGAAGAACTGTTAAAATAATGATGCAAATTACGCTGAGCACTGCAATTGGAATTACAACCGGCATTCGAGAAGGAGGAAGGAGCAGGAACGGGAGGAAGGGGAACCGAGGTGGGAGGAGGATCGAGTGAAACACTGCAGCGTAAATGGCCCTGCCTCCGGAGCACGGCCTCGTGCGAACGAGGACCGCGACGGCGAAGACGTTTTGTTCCCGGGGGCCGCTCACTAACGGCTAAACCGTGGGCGGATGGCAATGCGAGCAATGCGTAACTGCCAGAGCTAGCCCCCCCGCATCCCTAAGGGATCCGGAGGCGCGAGAACTGGTCCTTAAAAACTCCTTGGAGGTCGCCCGGCCCTTGCTCAAAGGCGATCATCTCGCCGAGCTTGACCACGCGAGCCTGCCAATCGATGCGGGAGTCCAGGCCAGACTCCGTCTTGATCATCTCGCCGGCCTTCCGGAGAGCCCAGTCCCTGGCCAAATTAACCTGGGATTTTGCCGGTTTGACAGTGACGGCGCGACCGTTCGACGACAAGGTGAAACGCTGCGTCTTGGCCACGTTGAAAAAAGCAGCCGCCTCCGGCGGAGACGGGAACTCGAGGTACGAAGCGCGGGTTATCTTCTGGCTATTCTTAGGGCCGGAGAAAAAGTGCCCGACGACGCCATTCGGCACGTTCTGCAGCGACGCCGCATATCTGTTGATCTCCAGGACGCGCGCGTTGAGGTCGTCCCCGTCGAACCCGACAAAGGCGACGCGACGGTTCGACACATCCATCGCGCTGAGCAGCGCCAGGTGGCGTTTGCCAACAGATCCTGTCCCCGAACTGGTCTCGAGCTGCTGCAAGCGCTCCCTCAGATCCTGCATTTCGTCTTTCAATGGATCGACGGCCACTGCAATGGCCTCTTTAGTCTCGATTGTGATTCTGCTATACATCGAAATCATCGAAGTATTGGTGGCCATATTGGAGTTCATGTGCTTCAATGCATCGAATAACGCCGCTTCGCCAGCAGATGCACCTGCCGGGAACGCAGGAAGGGCTGGTGCCGGCTGGGGGACAAAACCCGCACCAGGGACACCACCCGGGGGGACGGAGCCCACGCCCGGGGCCAGGGGGATAACACCCACTCCTGGCGCGCCCTCACCGGGACCACCTGCAGAACAGGTCCCGGGAGCCGCATGCATGCCACCCGTAGGGCCATTGCACGCACCGGAACCGCCACCCGCAGGGCCAGAACCGGGAGCGGCCGCCACAAAAGTAGCAGCGCTCAGCTCACCACCAGGACTGCCTCCCATGCAAGTCCCGGGAGCCGCATGCACGCCACCCAAGGGGCCTTTGCATGCACCGGAACTGCCTTCCAATAGGCCGGCTCCGGGAGCAGCCGCTGCAGATGCAACGGCGCTCGGCTCTACGTTCCCGCTCCCGACACCTGGAAAGGCGGGCGCGGGAGTAAACTTCACCTTCGATTGACTCTCACACGCGTCCATCATGTCATCGGTTCGAAGTTTTTTCTGTTCCGGCGTACCCCCAGGCGAACGAGCCAAGGCAGCTTTCACAGCATTAGCACGATCTGACAATCGACTCAACGGCCCCTTCCCGACACCTGCACTGGAATGCGTCCCCAAGATGCTCTGGTTAAGGTCGGTTGCCTCGCCAGGAAGAGCGGCTGCAGCAGCGCCAGACATTGCGAACAAACTAGGACAACCGAGATGTATCAGGTGGTTGACCGCCCCGGCGACAGGCAAAAGATACCCAGACCGCCCCGGCGACAGGCAATGATAGCTTCTGAGCTCGTGCCACAACAGCTTGAGCCACAACAGCTTGAGCCAAAATGGCTACGGGTCTCTGGTGGAAGCGCAGCTTGCACAACAATTCGCGCAAGGCGTTACGGTATGCTCGACACTGCCAACCTTCCGCCTGGCCGCTTCAGTGAGACGGCACAGGCTTCGAGGGACAGCTCAAAATCTTCAGCCGCGTTTCGACAGAGTCAGAAACTCGTTCGTAATAAGAAATGGCAGGCGCCATTTTTGATTGAATACTTGTGCAAAAAAATCAACCTCGACCTGGCCGAGAAAACCCACGTGCGTCTGATCGCTTCAGAGGAGAAAACGTGGGCTTGTGGACATGCGACAAAAACTGATGTGAACAAATCAGCCATGTCTCTAACCAAAGCTTGGAAAACCGCTTCAAAGTCGTGGACACTTTGGGCAGCCAAAATGCTGCATAGTAGGAGATTATACACTGCTGCGAACGAAAAACAGAGCGGCGAATCTGGAGCACAACACTGAACTGAACCTGATCATAAAAACCTGAGAACGCTTCGCATAACCTGGAAAATAAACTAACGTATTAACACTCTGAACAAATTCTTGCTATTCAACGTTCCTGGACTAATGAAACATCGCATGTTTATGCGACGTGCCTGTTCCGAAAAACACAAAATCGGAAAACTGTCAATATGTGTAAATCGATATGAAATGGATTAATCAATTATCTTGGTATGTAATTATGATTTCTGTTCTGTAATCTAACACTCGTTACATTGAACCACAATGTTTGGACACATTATTTAATGTAATTATGCTGAACAACTAACTGAAAAAAAATACTGCACCATATAAAACTATGTAGGCAGGATATCTGTATAATCATGAAAACTAATCACACTAAACATGCAAAGTTTACCTTTAACGTCTCTATTTATTAATGCAATTTTACTGTAAATACAAATAAACTAAAAAAGAAAATAAGCAATCAACTGATACATGCAACAAAAAAAATAATAGAATAACATGTGTTACAACTCTTTCGAAAATCTCCAGCGAAAAAAATGTACCACATATTATATTTCTATTTACGCATTTTTTTTGGTTGTAAAAAAACTCGAGGAGGGCTACAACACATCCGCTAACCATTTTAACACATTATGTAAAACATCACATCTAATACCGCGCGATAACATATCAACTCAAACTCATTCTAATCGTGAGAAAAAACAACCCCTTTCGGCAAGCAGTTGTCCGTCTGTCTGAAAAAGGCTAGTGGTGAGGAGTTCATGCATCTCCGAGGCTAATAAATAATTTTTTTTTTTTTTAAAAAAAAAAACGCTACCGTAATCCTGGTGAACGTGATCAAATGACTATCATTGTAGTAACATGAACGCTCTTGTGTACACCAATGCATTAACGTTCAACTGTTCGCGTTTGTCTTTTTCGTCTTTACATCATTTATTTCTTTGTGTGTATGTTGCATATTAATAAACGGGATTTGTATATTTTATCGAATTTGGTAAGCAGAACGTGCCGTGGACAGTCTAGTAGACCTATAATCGAAAAAAACAACAAATCGAACAACTAATGCGGACCACGAGAACCGTTTGCTCGAACGCAATAACCAAATTCTAATTACGTATCCAGAACTCTTCCCAAACGTCGCGTTCACTACCGTAACCGTGACTGTAATAACTCTGGTCATGTTCGCGCTGGCTGTGATGGCGTGGCGGCCGTTTCGTGTCTTTCATTTTCAATGTCGATGTGACCGTCGTGGCTGACCGTCATTACTATCAGCTGTGACGGTGGTAATCGTGATGGCTGTGAGCTGGCTTGCGTGGGCATGGCCGTGAAGCCGCGGGCGTGGTTTCCATGATGGCCGTGCCTGTGGTGGCCGTAACCGTGGTTGCTGTGACCGTGACGGTGGTGGTGATCGTCATGACTGCGGGCAACTGCGGTGATGGCCGTGATGGCAGTGGCTGTGGCATGGACGTGATGCCGTGACAGGATTGCGGTGCGTGATGGCTGCTCCCTGGCTGTGATGTCTGTGCGGCTGGCCGTGCTGGTTGTGGCCGTGGTTGCCGCAACCGGATAACCGTGGTCGTGCTGGCTGTGGGCGTGGTTTCCGTGGGCGTGATGGCGGCGTGGCGACGGCCGTGATGGCGTAGGCCGTGGCCCTGATGGCCGTGGCCGTGGCGGCCGTGGCTATGATGGCCGCGGCCGTGATGGTCGTGGTGTCTCTGGCCGTGGTGGCCGTGATGGCCGTTGGCCGTGGCCGTGATTGCCGTGGCCGTGATGGCAGTGGCTGTGGTGGCCGTGGCTGTGATGGCCGTGGCCGTGATGGCCGTGCCGGTGCTGTCCGTGGCCGTGGTGGCCGTGGTGGCCGTGGCAGCCGTGGTGGCCATGGCCTGGCCGTGACGGACGGTGGCCGTGGCCGAGGTGGCCGTGGTGGCAGCGGCCCTGGTGGCCAGCCGTGGCAGCCGTGGCCGTGGCCGCAGGGCGTGGGCTGGTTTCCGTGGGCGTAATGGCCGTGGGCGTGTGGTCGTGGCCGTGATGGCCGTGGCCATGGTGGCCGTGTTTGTGGTGGCCGTGGCCCTGATGGCCGTGGCCGTGGTGGCCGTGGTGGCCGTGGGCGTGGTTTCCGTGGGCGTGGTGGCCGTGGGCGTGGTGGTCGTGGCCGTGGCCGTGATGGCGGTGGCTGTGGTGGCCGTGGCTGTGATGGCCGTGGCCGTGATGGCCGTGGCCGTGCTGTCCGTGGCCGTGGTGGCCGTGGTGGCCGTGGTAGCCGTGGTGGCCATGGCCGTGGTGGCCGCTCGCCGTGGTGGCCGTGGCCGTGGTGGCCGTGGCCCTGGTGGCCATGGCCGTGATGGCCGTGGCCGTGGCAACCGTGGCAGCCGTGGCCGTGGCCGCAGTGGCCGTGGGCGTGGTTTCCGGGGGCCTGTGGGCGTGGTGGCCGTGGCCGTGGCCGTGATGGCCGTGGCCATGGTGGCCGTGTTAGTGGTGGCCGTGGCCGTGATGGCCGTGGCCCTGGTGGCCATGGCCGTGGTGGCCATGGTGGCCGTTGCGGCCGTGGAAAGGGGGAAAGGAACGATCGGATCTAGGCAACAAAAAGCGGAAAAACATGCGCATCGAATCCCACCAGCCCTCTGGGCGTAGGTGGTCTAGAGCAGATCCTCTTCCACCCCTCCCTCTTCCCCCTTGGGGAGGGGTTTACCCCTCCCCCTACCCCCTCCCCTGAACCTGGACGGGGGGGGCCGCGGGTAGTTAGAGCGTCCAAGATGGCCCAAGACGGCTCCAAAAGCGCCTCAGAGAACCCAAGATGAGCTCCAAGATGGCTCAAGATAGCGCAAGATCGCTCACGATGGCTCCTAAGATGGTTCCAAGAAGCCCAAAGACGGCCCCAAGATAACTCCAAGTGGCCAAACAGCTCCCCAAGGAGGCCCCGAAGAGACCAAAATCGTCCCAAAACCTAAGGAAAATCAATGATTTTTGCTTTCTCGCCTTTTCGCTTCCGATGGCCATCCGAGGCCTGGAGATGGCTTCCAAGATGGCCCAAGAGGGCCCCAAGGAGCCCCAAAAGAGCCCCAAGACGGCCCCAAGAGCGCCCAAGAGCACTCCAAGAGCGTTCCAAGAGGGGTCCAAGAGGCGATTTTAGGGGCTTCCGAGGGGGGGCGCTAATCCCACCAGCCCTCTGGGCGTAGGTGGTCTAGAGCAGATCCTCTTCCACCCCTCCCTCTTCCCCCTTGGGGAGGGGTTTACCCCTCCCCCTACCCCCTCCCCTGGACCTGGACGGGGGGGGCCGCGGGTAGTTAGAGCGTCCCAGATGGCCCAAGACGGCTCCAAGAGCGCCACAGAGAACCCAAGATGAGCTCCAAGATGGCTCAAGATAGCGCAAGATCGCTCGAGATGGCTCCTAAGATGGTTCCAAGAAGCCCAAAGACGGCCCCAAGATAACTCCGAGTGGCCAAACAGCTCCCCAAGGAGGCCCCGAAGAGGCCAAAATCGTCCCAAAACCTAAGGAAAATCAATGATTTTTGCTTTCTCGCCTTTTCGCTTCCGATGGCCATCCGAGGCCTGGAGATGGTTCCAAGATGGCCCAAGAGGGCCCCAAAGGATGCATCCGGGGTGCTCTGATGCCGAGATTATTCCGGGGAGGAGCCGAGAGCCCCAAAAGAGCCCCAAGACGGCGCCAAGAGCGCCCAAGAGCACTCCAAGAGCGTTCCAAGAGGGGTCCAAGAGGCGATTTTAGGGGCTTCCGAGGGGGGGCGCTAATCCCACCAGCCCTCTGGGCGTAGGTGGTCTAGAGCAGATCCTCTTCCACCCCTCCCTCTTCCCCCTTGGGGAGTGGTTTACCCCTCCCCCTACCCCCTCCCCTGGACCTGGACGGGGGGGGCCGCGGGTAGTTAGAGCGTCCAAGATGGCCCAAGACGGCTCCAAGAGCGCCTCAGAGAACCCAAGATGAGCTCCAAGATGGCTCAAGATAGCGCAAGATCGCTCACGATGGCTACTAAGATGGTTCCAAGAAGCCCAAAGACGGCCCCAAGATAACTCCAAGTGGCCAAACAGCTCCCCAAGGAGGCCCCGAAGAGGCCAAAATCGTCCCAAAACCTAAGGATAATCAATGATTTTTGCTTTCTCGCCTTTTCGCTTCCGATGGCTATCCGAGGCCTGGAGATGGCTCCAAGATGGCCCAAGAGGGCCCCAAGAGAGCCCCAAATGAGCCCCAAGACGGCCCCAAGAGCGCCCAAGAGCACTCCAAGAGCGTTCCAAGAGGGGTCCAAGAGGCGATTTTAGGGGCTTCCGAGGGGGGGCGCTAATGAAACCCCCCCTCTTGTTTGATCGACTCCCTCCAAGATGGCCCCAAAAGCGCCCCGAAGGCTCCCCAGAGCGCCTCAAGAGGGTCCCAAGAGGCGCCCAAGATGCCCAAAGGCGCCCAAAAAGCCCTCCAAGAGGCCCTCAAAAGACCCCCAAGAAGCTCCTTCCCCTCCTCCTCCTCCTCCTCCGATTCTTCCTCCTTCTCCGTTCTCCTCCTCCTCCTCCTCCTCCTCCTCTTCCCCCTCATACTCACCTCCGTCCCGCATCCTCCGACGACGACGACTCCATCTTTCCATCCTCCCCTCCGGGTCTGTGGGACAGCTCCCCGCACTTGTTATTCTGCATGCTCCGATTCCCTGATCACATCAACTTTTCCCCCCATGTAGGCAATCGTTTTCTGGATGGGCTGGTGGGATACGCGAAGCGTCAACAATTCACCCCCCCCTCTTGTTTGATCGACTCCCTCCAAGATGGCCCCAAAAGCGCCCCGAAGGCTCACCAGAGCGCCTCAAGAGGGTCCCAAGAGGCGCCCAAGATGCCCCAAGGCGCCCAAAAAGCCCTCCAAGAGGCCCTCAAAAGACCCCCAAGAAGCTCCTTCTCCTCCTCCTCCTCCTCCTCCGATTCTTCCTCCTTTTCCGTCCTCCTCCTCCTCCTCCTCCTCCTCCTCTTCCCCCTCCTCCTCCTCCTCCTCCGACGACGACGACGACGACGACGACGACTCCTCTTCCAACCTCCCCCTCTCGGGGTCTGTGACAGCTTCCCCCGCCCTTTGTTATTCTGCATGCTCCCCGACTTCCCTGATCACCTCAACTCCCCTGAGCATCGTTTCTGGATGGGCTGGTGGGGATACGCGAAGCGTCAACAATTAAACCCCCCCTCTTGTTTGATCGACTCCCTCCAAGATGGCCCCAAAAGCGCCCCGAAGGCTCACCAGAGCGCCTCAAGAGGGTCCCAAGAGGCGCCCAAGATGCCCCAAGGCGCCCAAAAAGCCCTCCAAGAGGCCCTCAAAAGACCCCCAAGAAGCTCCTTCCCTCACCTCCTCCTCCCCGATTCTTCCTCCTTATCCGTCCTCCCCTCCTACTCCTCCTCCTCCTCTTCCCCCTCCTACTCCCGCATCATCCTTCCTCCTCCTCCGACGACGACGACGACTCTCTTCCTCCCATCCTCCCCTCTCGGGGTCTGTGACAAGCCTACCCCCGCCCTTTGTTATTCTGCATGCTCCCCGACTTCCCTGATCACCTCAACTCCCCTGAGCATCGTTTCTGGATGGGCTGGTGGGGATACGCGAAGCGTCAACAATTTGTAGGTAATAGCTTACGGAAACCATACTTATCTTATCCCACCAGCCCTCTGGGCGTAGGTGGTCTAGAGCAGATCCTCTTCCACCCCTCCCTCTTCCCCTGGGGAGGGGTTTACCCCTCCCCCTTTACCCCCTCCCCTGGACCATGACGGGGGGGGCCGCGGGTAGTTAGAGCGTTCCCAGATGCCCAAGACGGCTCCAAGAGCGCCTCAGAGAATCCAAGATGAGCTCCAGATGGCTTTCAAGATAGCGCAGATGCGATCGAGATGGCTCCTAAGATGGTTAAGAGCCCAAAGACGCCCCAGATAAATCCAAGTGTGCCAAAAACAGCTCCCAAGGAGGCCCCGAAGAGGCCAAAAATCCTCCAAAAAACCTAAGGGGAAAATCACATGTTTTGCTTCTCGCCGTTTCGCTTCGTTATGGCCATCCGAGGCCTGGAGATGGCTCCAAGATGGCCCAAGAGGGCCCCAAGAGAGCCCCAAAAGAGCCCCAAGACGGCCCCAAGAGCGCCCAAGAGCTCTCCAAGAGCGTTCCAAGAGGGGTCCAAGAGGCGATTTTAGGGGCTTCCGAGGGGGGACGCTAATTAAAACCCCCCTCTTGTTTGATCGATCTCCTCCAAGATGGCCCCAAGAAGCGCCCAGGAAGCCCCAAGAGGTCCCAAGATGGCCCCAAAATGGCCCCAAGAGGCCCCCAAGAGGCCCCCCGGAGGCCCCCAAGAGACCCCAAGAGGCCCCAAGAGCCCCCCCAGATGCACCCAAGATGCTCCAAGAGGCCTCGGCGAGAATGCCTAATCATTGATTCTACACAGGTTTTAGCCACATGGAGGCCTCTTGGGGGGGGGCACGGATTAAGATGACTCCAAGAGCGTCTGGGAGAGCCCAAAATGACCTCCAAGATGGCTCAAGATATCCCAAGATGTCTCATAATGGCTTCCTCTGTGTGCTGCCCACTTCTCTGATCGAGGCAATTCCTCTGGGCATCGTTTCTGGATGGGCTGGTGGGGATTCGCGAAGCGACAACAATTTTGTTTTCCGTGTTTTTGTACCAGCGACTTGTGGAAGCCGTACTTCCGGAAATTAACCTAAGGAAACAGTGCTTATCGGATTTGGGCTGCATCCCCATTCACGAAACCGAGGAACCCCAGATCCACTTACTCAAACCCGAAAATGTACTCCCTCGCCTGATCCTCGTCCTTCTCCTCCTCCTCCTCTCCCTTCCCCTCCCCCTCGTTCCCCCCTCCACTGTATCTCTCCCTCCTTCTCCTCCTCCTCCTCCTCCTCCTCCTCCTCCTCCCCCTCCTCCTCCTCCTCCTCCTCCTCCGCCTCCTTCTCCTCCTCTTCGTCTTCCTCTTCCGTCTGGGGGGGAGCCTTTCTCACGACGGTCTAAACCCAACTCACGCTCCCTATTGGCGGGTGAACAATCCGACACTTCGGGACTTGTGCGTCTCAATGATGCGAAGAACCGACATCGAACGATCAAAAAACAACGTCGCTATCAACGTTTGGCTGCCGCAAGATGAACAATCCGACACTTCGGGACTTCTGCGTCTCAATTATAATAAGAACCGACATCGAACAATCAACATGCAACGTCACTATGAATGCTTGGCTACCACAAGGTGAACAATCCGACACCTCGGGGCTTCTGCGTCTCAATGATGGGAAGAACCGACATAAAACGATCAAAAGCAACGTCGCTATGAACGCTTGGCTGCCACAGTGTATACAATCCGACACCTCGGGGCTTCTGCGTCTCAATGATGGGAAGAACCGACATCGAAACATCAAACAACAACGTCACTAAAATCAATTATCCCTGTGGTAACTTTCCTTTGCGCCTCTAGTGGGGCATTTCTCAGCGCTCCGTCCCTCCCCTCCTCCTGCTCCATTAATGATGATGATGATGATGATGATGATGATGATGATGAGGAAGAGGAGGAGGAAAAGGGGGAGAAAATGGAGACGTGAGGGAGGAAGAAGAAGAAAA